ATTTTCTAGAGCCAACGTTATACTAAATAAGACAAAACAATACATTTCTTCTAAATATAGGAGAGAAGAGTATTCATTTTTACCACTTTGACTAAATACAGTGCTCAAAATCTTAGCTAAAGCAATAGTAAGAAAGAAATAAAATTGATATATACAGAAGTCAAACTATCCCTATTCATAGATTATATGATCCTATACATAAAAGGCTTTAAAGATTCCATCAGAAAACTCCAAGATCTGATACATTCTTTCAGTAAAGTGGAATATAAATTCTATATGTCGGGGCTGGGAATGTGGCTCAGTGGTAGAGCGCTTGCCTTGCATGCTCAAGGCCCTGGGTTCGATTCCTCAGCACCACATAAGCAAAAAGAAAAAAGCCAGAAGTGGCACTGTGGCTCAAGTGGTAGAGCACTAGCCTTGAGCTGAAGGACAGCGCCCAGGCCCAGGTTCAGGCCCCACGACAGGACCCAAAAAAACAAATAAATAAATAATTCTATATGTCAACAATGAGTAGGTTGTAAAGAAATCCAGAAAACAATATCATTCATATAGTCTTAAAAAATAAAACATCTGGAAATAACCTAATCAAGCAGATAAAAGACCTGCACAATGAAAACAAGAAACCAATGGAAACTTCTCATCTTTATGGATCAGCAGAATTAATACTATAAAATGTCCATATTACCAAAAGCAATCTACAGATTGAGTTCAATATCCAGATAGTCCAGTCACACTCTTAACAGAACTAGGAAAAAAGCAGTCATAAATTTCATATTAGATTACAAATGAAGAGACAAAGCAATCCTAAGCACAAAGAGTAATGCTAAAAATATCACATTAGCTAATTTCAAGTAATACTACAGTGAGTCATAGAAGCAAAACAGCGTGGTACTGGCACAAAAGTAGATATTTTGACCAGTGAAAGACAATAGAAGACCCAGAAATATGCCAACACATATACTGACATCTGAGTCTCAAGAAGAAAAAAAAATGTTCCAAACACATATTAGAGAGAACACAGCCTTTTAAACAAATGGTGTTGTGCTTTCCACATGTAGAAGACTGAAATTAGATCCCTACTTCACTCTGTATTAAAAAAAATCCTCAAAATGGATTAAAGACCTAGAACTTTGGAATTAGTTACAGAAAAATATAGGTAAAATACCTCAGACCTAGGCACAGCCAAACACTTTCTGAATAGATTACAGTAGTATAGATAATAACAGCAAGAACTGAGGGTTAGAAACCTCAATACAATCAGGGGATTGCACTGAATTCTAAGGTACCTTCACAGCAAAAGAAACAGTGAGGAAAATAAGAAGGTAACTCACAAGATAGGAGACGATCTTTGCCAGCTCTTCAGCTGACAAGGGATTAATAGCCAGATGACATGGAGTACTCAGAAAATTAAACTCCAAAAATCAGATAACCCAATCAATAAATTAATTAAACTGAACAAACACTTCAGATGAATAAGTTCAAATGGTCAAAAATACTTGTCCAAAATCTTTAGAGAAATGAAAATCAAAACTACATTGATGTTCTATCTTATCCCAGTCAGAATAAATGGCAATCATCAAGAAAACAAGGACAAATGCCAGTATGGAATCTGGAAAAAGGAACTCTCATGCACTGATGGTGGGAATGTAAACTTGTATAGCCACCATGGAAAGCAATATGGATGTTCCTCAAAAATCTAAAAGTAAGCTGGGTGCTGGTGGCTCATGCCTATAATCCTAGCTACTCAGAAGGCTGATTTCTGAGGTTCCGATTCAAAGCCAGCCAGGACAGGAAAGTCGGGGAAACTCCAGAAAAACCAGAAGTGGCGCTGTTTCTGAAAGTGGTAGAGCTTACTTAGCCTTGAGCAAAAGAGCTCAGGTACAGCATCCAGGCACCAACTTCAAGCATCAGGATCAACAACAACAAAAAAAGTACACTGACCTTATGATCCAGCTGTAAGATATCTCCTGGGTCTATACCCAAAGGAATCAGGGGCAACACACAAGGAAGACACCTTTGTACCACACTTATTGCAGCACCATTCAAAATAGTTACAGAATCAGCACAGGTGTCTACCAATGAGCAAACGGATAAACATGGTATACACAATGGATTGTTATACATAATGAAGAATGATATTATATCATTTGCATGAAAATGGTTGGGACTAGAGATCATCATCTTAAGGAAATAAGCCAGACTTAGCAAAGCAAATATTACATGTTTTCTCTTATTTAAGAAATGAAGACTATTTGCAGAAAGGAAGGCAGCCAGCAGGAGGAGACAGTGAATATGATGGAAGGTATGAAGGAGGTGCACATAAACAAGGTACATTGTATGCATGCATGAAAATGTCATAATGAAATATCATAATAAAAATCCACTATTTTGTAGGATTAATATATGCTCATTTAAAAGCAGAAGCATTGAAAAGAGTGTGGTGGTTTATACCTATCATCATAGCTACTCAGAAAGCTTCGACTGAGAAGATTGTGGTTCAATGCCCATTTAGGTAAAATGTTCATAGGTAAAAAGTTTGAGAGCCACCTTCCCCCTTCTCAAACAATAAAAAGCCGAGTGTAGGGAGGATCATGTAGAAAAATGAAAGAGCTGGTAACAGAAAAATAATAGCCAACTGGTGTCAGTCAAGTACAGTTAAGAAAATGATCAGCTAGGTGTGGCTCAAGCCTATAATCCTAACTACTCAGGAGGATGAGATTAAAGGATCACAGTTCAAAGCCAGCCAGGGCAGGAAAGTCTGTGAGACTCTGATCTCCAATTAATCACCAGAAAACCAGAAGCAGCACTGTGGCTCAAAATGGCAGAGTACTAGCCATGAATGGAAAAAGCTCAGGGACTAGGGACCAGTCTCTAAGTTAGAGCCCCATGATTAACAAAAACAACAAACAAAATCAAAATAAATGTACGCAAAAATAGTTTTGAAGTTGATATAATGAGCCAAAGTACATATTTTAAAGAATGTTTTTGTTGGTCGTGGGGCTTGAACTCTGGGCCTGGATGCTCTCCCTCAGCTCTTGAGCTCAAGACTAGTGCTCTACCATTAGAGCCATAGCACCACTTCCAGTTTTCTGGTGTTTTATTGGAACTAAAAGTCTCACGTACTTTCCTCCCCGGGCTGTCTTTGAACTACAATCGTCAAATCTCAGTCTCCTGAGTAGCTAGGATTTCAGGCATAAGCCACTGGTACCTGGCCAGTTTTTAAATATTTTTAAAAATATATTTTCAAGCTGGGCATTGATGGCTCATGCCTGTAATCCTAGCTACTCAGGAGGCTGAGATCTGAGGATCATAGTTTGAAGCCAGCCCAAGCAGAAAAGTACCCATGAGACTCTTATCTCCAATTAACTACTCAAAAACCATAAACGGTGCTGTGGTTCAAGTGATAGTGCACTAGCCTAAATCACAAAGAGGCTCAGGGACAACACTCAGGCCCTGAGTCATTATTTTAAAGACTTTTAGTATTTCCTTTTACTCTCAAAGTTGTTCTGAGTTAGGGATAAATTTAACATTTATATCTTCACAAATCAATCAGCTGAGCTGCCAAGGGACATAGACTGTCACCGTAAATACTTTACTTCCTCATTTTTTATTCCCACATTTTTATCTACTAAAATGAATACTATGTAATAGCTTAACAAGGATATCAGGTATTAAGGGATTTATCTATAAACTATTGCCAGTCACGGACAAGGTTAAGACTATCCCAGCTATGTGCCTAATGGTGATTTTAGGGGACTCTATCCAACTGTTGATTTGCTTTGTTTGTTTGATTGATTGATTTTTGTGCCAGTCCTGAGGCTTGAACTCAGGGCCTGGGCACTGGCAGCAAAGACCATGAGACTCTTACCTCCAATTATCCACAAAAAGCTGGAAGTAAAGCTGTGGCTCAAGTGGTAGAGCACTATCCTTGAGAATAAAACTCAGGGACAGCCGGGCACCGGTGGCTCACGCCTGTAATCCTAGCTACTGAAGAGACTGAGGATCATGGTTCAAAGCCAGCCCAGGCAAGGAAAGTCAGTGAGACTCTTATATCCAATAAACCACTGGAAAACTAGAAGTGGCACTGTGGCTCAAACGGTAGAATCCTCGCCTTGAGCTGAAGAGCACAAGTACAGCACCCAAGCCCAGAATTCAAGACCCACGACCGACCAAAAAAAAACACAAAAAACTCAGTGACAGCTCCAGTCCAGAGTTTAAGCCCCAGGACAGGCAGTGAAAAAAGAAAGAAAAAGAGAGTAAAGACCATTTTTACTGTTGGGGTGTACAAAAACAAAATGGATCATATTTCTTAGCTCCCTGACCAAGATCGTTCTAATTTGTTGTTATTTAATTATATAATATTTAATAGAAAAAATCTAAATAAACTCAGTTGCCTTTTTTTCCTATTTTTCTTTTTTTACATGATCAAGTGAAGACTTTTCATAAAAGACTGTGAAAATTAATCAAATCATGGAAGTTTTGAAAATAGTATTTTTATTCCTTTCTCTCCTTTTCTCTCTCAGAAAGAAAAGAAGAACTTGATCCTCTTTAGCTGTTAATTTTGTTTCTGGAAACAGAGAAACCCTTAGGAATTCCTATTTGCTTTATTTTTAATCTACAAACCTCTCAAAGAACAATGGTGTACAGTTTCTAATTGCATTCCCTTTTTTCTCTTGCTCTCCCTCTTTTTTATGGTACTGAAATCCAGCCAAATATTCAACTATTCTAGAAAGTGAAAGACATAGGAGAAAGCAGCACAGAGAAGGCCTTTGGTTTCATTTTATGAAGACATTTAATCTTAATCTAGAGAGACAAGACCTTTGTTGGTTTGATTTTTTTTTCTTTACTGGGAGAAGCTCTCCTGGAACAAAGTACAGGTTTTCAGACAAGCCAGTTTCTGTAAGCTTGCCGATAACAGCGCTCCTGTTTCTGTGCAGGTGCGATGGTACGTCAGGTGCATGTGTAGGGCTATAAAATACACAACCTTTGTAACCAGACACATCCAGGATACCCTTGCAACACAAGCACTGGCCAGTTCTGGTAAGCAAGCAAAATTTCCAGATTACTTAATCGGTCTTCAAGGTCTGTTCTATTCAAATGATCAGTTTTTGCTATTTAGCAGGAAGGCTCTCAGGAGAGGATGGGGAAAGGGAAATGAAACTTGTTTGTTTGTTTTCCTTCAGCTGCTGAACTGGCTTCATAGTTTTAGTCTCTCTTCATTGTAATGATAGCCGAATAAACTGGAGTTAACCAACAGTATCTCTTTAAAAATTCCTTGCATGAGTACCACCAAGAGTTCTTCCTTGTATTATTTTAAAAGTTTCCTTATTCTGAAATATAAACTTTTAATACAATATTGAAGTACATGGCTTGATTAAGTTACTTTTGAAAAATCCTCTCTTGTGATGAAAAATGCCAATTGATCAATATTTATAAAACCTAGTTGTGGACATCTGATTGCATTCTTTTCAAGTCCACCGGAAGCTACTTGGTTAGCTGTCTCCTACTGGATCATCTGACCCTCAGCAAGGCATACTTCTTTTACTACAGACATAAAGTTGAACTAAACCAAGCAATGTACAACTTCTTTTTACTTCTAACAGATTATTATCAAGCAACGTAAAATAGCAAACCAGATTTTTAATTTGAAGGGAGAGGATACTTGACAAAAGTAAACAAATAATTGAACTTAATAATAATTTGCCTCCCATTCAACACTAAGCTTGGCAGGCTTAAAATAGCAAAGTGATAAAATTATACTTTCTCTTTTTTATTGGAGATTCTTCTCCTCAAGCTTTTTTCCTGACCCTTTTTAAACCTCTTTTTATGTCTAGGATCCTCTGGATCCTCTTCTCGAGAAATATAACTAGAGGCTCAGAACATTATAGGATTTCAGAGCTTTATGAGCCTCTGATAACTGATTCCATAGAGCTTCTAGAAGCCTGTGGGACTCAGGTTACAACTATCCTTAACAGTGCCTCAGTCTCTCAGCAGTGAGATGCCTTCCTTGTCCCGATTGGACTTTGTGACTCAGGTACATCTCTTTTTCCTCCAGCTAAAACTCTATCTAATTTCCTGCCCCCGCCTCCTTTTTTGAGGGGGCGGTCGTGGGGCTTGAACACTGGGCCTGCGTGCTATCCCTGAGCTCTTCAGCTGAAGGTGAGCTCTCTACCACTTGAGCCACAGCAGCACTTCTGGTTTTCTGGTGGTTAATTGGAGATAAGAGTCTCACAGATTTTCCTGCCTAGGCTGGGTTTGAACCATGATCCTCAGATCTCAGCCTCCTGAGTAGCTAGGATTACAGGTGTGAGCAACTGGCTCCCAGCTCTCTCTCTTTTAAATTAGTGTGTGTCAATTGCACAAAGGGGTTCATTATATTTCTACACACTTATCTAATATACTTGGATCACTTTTTCTTTCACCTTACACCTCCCCTTCCTTAAAATCTACCCTTTCTTGATTCAGACTTTCAGGCACAGGATGACTAGAAGTTAAAAGTACAAGATGACACTCTGGCATGTTTCATAGTTTAGTAAGTTATGGGAACTTAAATTGAAACCCTTATCAAGCTCTATGGTTACTGCTTAACCAGGTTTTGGTTGTTTTGTTTTTTCACTGCCTGAGACAAAGGAAATAATAAATGCTTGATTTATTGTTCTGAAATGCACAATTTTAATGTAATTTTGAAGTACATAGCTTGATTAAGTTACTTTTGAAAAGTAACTTAACCCTTCCCCCCTGACAAAAAAAAAAGCCAATTGGCCAGTGTTTATAAAGCCTAATTGTGGGGCTGGGAAGGTGGCTCAGTGGTAGAGCGCTTGCCTTGCATGCATGAGGCCCTGGGTTCCATTCCTCAGCACCACATAAACAGAAAAAGTGGCCCTGTGGCTCAAGTGGTAAAGTGCTAGCCTTGAGCTGAATTGCTGGACAGCAACCAGTCCCAGAGTTCAAGCCCCATGACAGACAAAAAAAAAAAAAAACCTCAAAACAACTAATTGTGGACATTTGGTTATGTTCTTTTAAGTCCACTGAGAGCTTCTGTTGTCAGCTGTCCCCTGCCATGGCCACCTGACCCTCAGCAAGATGAGAGGCAATGAGTAAGGCTAACCTAGCATAACAAATCTTTGCAGTTCAGAGAGGAAACAAATATGTACATCACTTTTCAGAGGAAAATACTATAATGAGAAGGAAGAGGAACTACCTAGTGAAACCTGGACATCTATAAACCGCACCACCAAGCTGCTGTTGTCTTTGATGATTATACCTTCTCTCTTACAGTAACTAGACTATTATAGCTGGCACAAGTCTTACCAAAGCAAATCACATTTTATTGATCTTTCAATTTTCCTTGATACTTAATGCAATTAAGTACACCAATTTTCATGTTTGAATAGAAACAGCAAACAATCATTCGCTGTATTTCTCTTCCTTGGTTACTATTTTTTTCTTTTGTGTGCTGGCACTAGGACTTAAACTCTGGGCCTGACATTCTCCCTTACCTTTTTGAATCAAGGATGGCACTCTACCACTTGAGTCACACTTCCACTTGCAACTTTTTGCTAGTTATTTGGAGATAAGAGTCTCTTGGATTTGTCTTCCCAAGCTGGCTATGAACCAAGATCCTCAGATCTCAGCTTCTTGAATAGCTAGGATTACAGGTGTGAGTCACCAATGTCAAACTTGGCTAGATAATTTAATTATTTTGGTGGAGAATTCATTACCAAATAGCAGAAGTCAAAAAGAAAAAAATACTTTAGAAAACCTTTAAATCTAAAAGACATATGCACAATTATTTTTACTCTTGTGTGTGCATATACATATATATATGATTGATTGATTGATTGGTTGATTGATAGCAATATGTTTTTACTTGGTTTTATTTAAGAGCTGAGTTACCACTGAAAGAGCAACGGGCTAGGTGAGAATGGCCTGTGAGAAAGGGTATTAATGACAAGTCATCTGTATTCTACTTTACCTCTGATCTTTTTCAAGCAGTGTTTGCTCATGCACAATCTTACTTTCTTGTAGAGTTCAAATGTTTTGGGCTCAGAAGAATGCAAGGACAATTTTTTTGTGTTAGTTTTCATCTTGCTATTTATTGCATGCTTCAGCTTAGCTAGGACTAACCAATAGGATGCTATTTGAGTTCCATTGTGGAACTGAGTAGTATGGCTCACACACAGCATCCTGTGCAGGATACTATTCTCTTTCAATGTCATCATAATATTCTGCCCACTGAACCTTCTTGAAACTGACAAAATTCTTGAAAGCTCTAGGTGGTGATTATCCCATGTACAATCAAAGAGCCATCAATTAGTATGTTTTGTCCAACTCTTGGTCAATGTCTTAATGTTCTGAACAAATCCACTAGGTTCTGAAAACTATTTTTTGCCATCCAGTTGCTTCCGAGGGGTTTTCTAGAAGACAGGATGTTACACTCAACATTGACCCTCTGCCTCTTACACGTCACAGTGTCTTCCAACCTTGCTATTGCAATCAAAAAGGCAAAAAGACCTCCTCAGACGCTTTCCAGAGGTAAGACAATCTCCTTTGATTTTCTAAATCCAGTCATTTGGATTTTTAAAAACTATATAGTATCTACACCCATAGTCTAGTCAGAAAGCAAATAATTAACTGAAAGATGCTTGCTGTATGTGATTTCAAAGCTTTTTTTCCCTAGCTTCTAGCTTTTTTGGTGGTTACTTGGAGATAAGAGTCTCCCAGACTTTCCTGCCCAGATGGCTTTGAACTGCGATCCTCAGATCTCAGCCTCCTGAATAGCTAGGATTACAGGCATGAACCACTGGCACTCAGTTGTCAAATAAGCCTAATCTAAAAAGAAAAGAAAGGAAAAGAAAAGGACAAAACAATGAAATAGAAGGGAGTCATTATTTTAAACAGTGATCAAATTAACTTTCAGAACAAGAACAATTTAAGAAGGAAGGGGGATAGGGCAGGGGAGGAGGAGAAAAGAGGAGGTGGAAGAGGCGGAAGGAAAGAAAGTAAGAAAGAGGGGGAGGGCAGGGAAGGAGAAGAGAGGGGGAAGAAAGTAATGATTTACTTCATCTTTGTCAAAATAGTGAAGAACTGGTAGGATGTCTATAGCCCCTTATTTATTTGGTTACTCTCTTCCTTACTTGGTTACTCACTGTGCCAGTATAGGTGCTTGAACTCTCTAGTGATCACAAAGCTTTTTACTCATGGCTGAGCTCTGCTCTGTGACTCGAACCATACCTCAAGTTCTGGCTTTTGCTGGTTAATTGATTTGATTTGTCTGCCTGGGACTGCTTTGAATCTTGACTCTCAGCTCTCAATGTCCTCAGTAGCTAGGATTATAAGCATGAGCCACTGGCACTCAGCCTAGGCCTCTATTAAGGCAAGAAAATAACTTGGATTTTTTTTGTATACAAGGATACCTAGAAAATTGTATGTTACTCAATTGCTGAAATTTTAGGTAACCAAGTCCTTGCTATGACTTGAAAAGCAATTTCAGTGTTTTTAAACATTGTAATCTAGATTTATCATTGTTGACAGGTTTTAAATGTTTGTATTTTTGTACTTACTGTCTTACTTCGTTTAAGAAACAAATGTATCCTCATATGTTAAAAATTATACTTTGTTTGTGGGGCTTGAACTCTGTGTTTGGGTGCTATCCCTGCACTCTTCAGCTCAAGGCAAGCACTCTACCGTTTGAGCCACAGCGGCACTTCTGGTTTTCTAGTGGTTTATTGGAGATAAGAGTCTCACGGACTGGCTTTGAACCACGATCCACAAATCTCAGCCTCCTCAGTAGCTAGGATTACAGGCATGAGCCACCGGCGCCCAGCTAAAAATTATACTTTAAAATTCTCAAAATTGACTACTGTATCTCCAGATAACAGAAATAAGACCACAATTATTTATCCCTACATGGCTAATTCAAAATAATGATTATAACCAGAAAGTTCTCAACTGCTGTTTGGAACTGTAATGTGAATGGAGCCAAAAAACAAAAACAGAAAACTAAAGCACAATTCAAATTCTAAAACACTGACTTACCTTCTAATTTATTTATTTATTCATAGAGGTTTTGTGTATCAATAAATGACCATCATTTACTTAGGTTTATTAATTCACCTTTAGTTTATTGATTACACAAACTACATGTCTAAAAAAATATGTAGTTTTTCCAGAAAAAATAAAAGATTTAATACTTTCCCAGACAGAACTTGTCAAATAGCTTTCATTATAAGAACAATAGCTATAAAAACAATGAGCTTAATAACTTTAAAACAGCCAGGGGCTGGTGGCTTACTCCTGTAATCTGAACTACTCAGGAGGCTGAGACCTGTGGATTGCAGTTCAAAGTCAGCCCAGGTGGGAAAGTCTATGAGATTCTTATTTCCCATTAACCACCTGAAAACCAAAACTGACACTGTGACTTCAAGTGGTAGAGCCCTAGGCTTTAGCTGAAGAGCTCAGGGACAGTGCCCAAGGCCAGAGTTCAAGCTCCATAACCAACAAAAATTAATAAATAACCTTAAAACACCAAAAACTAAAGTAGTAATTATCCTAAAAGCCTTCCACTATTTAGCTAAACAACTATAGTTTAGAATAGTACAGATGCTATAGAATCTAAAGACATCAGCACTCTGCGTGCCTGCATTTAATGGTGAAACCGGGGTAAGGGCAATAGCTAATGAATACAGGGTTTTCCTTGAGGTGACAAAATGACCTGGAATTGATTTCGCAGTGTGAGATGTTTGTGCAGTGTGAGAATATAACAAAAATAATCCACACTTCCAAAGGGTGATTGGTATCAGTATGTAAAAATTATATTTTTTTAAATGTGTTGCCAAAGAACAAATTAAAAAAATACCAAACAATATGGAATGATCTTCTGCTTGCCTCATAATTTTGCCTCATGACTTCTGGCTATTAATTATCCCTGATATCAAAACCAGACACGGCAGCCTGGTAATGTCAGAAACACAGATGAAAATCTGGGCCAAAATTAGCCCCTTAAATACTTCTACTTTTACACTAGTCCAATTTTTTTCATGGATGGTTTGAGACAGTTCCTGAAAATAATTCACAATATTTCTGGCTATTTGATGCATTCTTTACAGTGTCTTACTTTTTCATCTCAAAAATACATCCCCAACTGCTCACATCTCTTCTTTTTAGGCTAATTGGTTCTTGCTATCCAACATGTTCTATTTCCCTCTGCTCCAGTCTTGTAGATGTTTCTAATAAAGACCTGTGTTTAATTGTGTTTTCAGTAATGGAATTCCTACATCAGAGTTTTTTTTTTGTCAAGCTAGAACTCAGGGGAAAACTTGGCAGTCCTTTTTCCCACAATGTGCTGGGCCTAAGAAGAAGTCAGCATGTCTCTGTGCTTACCATACAAAGGGCACTTGGGAATACAGCCCAAAGGATTCCTATTAGTTTTACAAAGTAGACAAAGATTAACTGTTACTTTCTGCAGATTCTGAGAACCACAACTTTTGCATAAACCAAAGATGTCCTTTCAGCCACCATAGCAGCATTATTAAGTACTTACTGCATTCAAGGTCATGTTTGAAACAGGCTCAAATCCACACTATAACATAAAAGTGTACTACCCCTTCGTATCCCATTATAGTTGAGGATTCCTTACTCTTTATGTCAACTAGAAGCTTGGTACTTCTGTAAACTTTTGTATTATTCCAAAGCTTTGCTGTAGACTTGCATTCATGCACTGATTTTTTTTCCTTCTTATTTCAGGATGGGGAGATGACATTACTTGGGTACAAACTTATGAAGAAGGTCTCTTTCACGCTAAAAAAAGGTAAAATGCCTCTCCATTAATTTAACAAACTATGCAGTTGTCTCATAGAAAATCCAAAATGTGAAAATATTGCATCCAGTAGCAGCAGAAGGCACATGTTTCTTAACTGCACATGGAACATTCTCCAGAATAAATCAGATGTTAGGGCATAAAACAAGCTTACACAAATTTAAGAAGAAAATCATATCAAATTAATTTTCAATGATAGCAATATAAAACTAGCAAGAAACAAGGATTCCAGAAAGTCCCAAAATGAACAATATGTTCCTAAAGAAAAAAATAAAAGGGAAAATTAAAACTATGTTAAGACAAATGAAAAGTGGAAATTTAACATGCTAAAATTTATAGGATGCAACAAAAGCAGTTCTAAGAGGGAAGTTTATAATAATAAATGAGGAAAATCTCAAATAAACAATCTAATATGTCTCAAATAATTGAAAAAATAAGTACAAGCTAAGCCCAAAGTTAGTAGTAAGAAGGAAAAATAAAAGCTCAGAGCAGACCTAAGTTAAAAGGCAACTGGAGAATCTAGACATCATCAAATATATGAACTGGATTTGAAATAGATGGTCAAAATCAACCAACCTGGCTGACAAGCTAAGAAAAAGAGAATAGAGTCAAATAAATAAAATCAGAAATAATTTAAAAAAAACATTGATGTTACAGATATACAAAGAGCCTATTATGTAAGTTATATTCAACACATTCAAAAACATATATTTAAAACATACCAAGATTAAAGAAACAGAAAATTTAAACAAACCAATGAATAAAGAAATTTTATACATAAGCTTAAAAAATCTACAAATAAAGTCTAGAATCTGTTATGAATACTACTAAACTTTAAAGAATCGATGCATTATCAAGTTCTTTAAAAAATGAAATAAAAGAGAGATAATATTTCTAAAGTCACTGATTGAGGTCAGAATTATCCTCATACAAAGTCGCACACAAATGGTACAAAAACTCCCAGCCAATGTCATTAAGGAAAAGCAAAAGGAAAAAGTCAGACAAGTTGGAAACAGAAGTTAAGCAGTTCTGTCTGCCTATGGCAGAATAAAAACCTAAAAGGCTCCACAAAAACACTAACAGAACTAACATATGAATTCAGTAACGTATATAATCAGGATACAATAGCAATATATAAATTTTAGCAGTGCTTCCATATCTCAAAAACCAAGCCATAGTGATGCATGCCTGGAATCCCAGATGTGCTGGAAGGTAGAGGATCTAGGTCCAAGGCCCAACCTAGGCAAAAATCATGAGACAGAAAACAGAAAATAAAGCAAAGGCAGATGTAGTTTCAGTTGTACTGCAACTTACCTACCAAGCACAAAGCAACCTACTTCTGCCAAAAGAGAAAACAAAACAAACGCCACAAAAACGTTTTCAATGTTAAAATCCAGATGTCCCTGAAAAAAAATATAAGGAACTCCTATTTAGGTTGCTTGCAAGTTGTAGTTTGGCACAGAATGAGTGGGTATGAAGATATTTGAATATTACTTGCCTTTTTGTAAAAGCTAGAATAAAAATCAAAATAATGAGCAGTATTTGACTCTTGTGAAATTCATTGGAAATTAACATTTTGTTCATAACATCCCTTCATCTCTGAAGATGTTATTTTTATTTACCTATTTATTTTTATGTGCACTTTCATATACAAATTAATCACCTGCTAAGCTTGTTGAACAATGGTTCCTAGGCAACATTCTGATGATTGATTAGATTGGGTGGAACCTATGAATTTATGTTTCTAATATGCCCTTTGTGATATTCATCAGGTGAATTGTGGAGCCCTACTTAGAACTGTTGTAGACAAATGGTTAAGACATGTAAGCAGATGTTTAAGTCTTGTTGAAAGGACGCAAAGATTGTGTTTAAATTCCCTTATATGGTTTGACTCAATGTCAATCACTTTACTAAATTCCACACTTTCTTTCTTAGTAACAAACCACTGATGGTTATTCACCACTTGGAGGACTGTCAATATTGCCAAGGTAATTTTAGTTCCTAAGACCTGTGTGTGTGTGTAGTGTGTGTGTGTGTGTGTGTGTGTGTGTGTGTGTGTGTGTAGAAAGAGTGGCTGGCAAGAGGAATTGAGGCACTCAGCAAATCCATTAAAAGAAAGGTAACTGTCAGAGTACTACTTTCTTACGAAGATCCATAAAGATTACCAAGGTACTTAGTGATCTATTAAATAATTTATTTCGGCTGGGATGGAGCTCAGTGGCAAAGTGCTTGCCTGGCAGGTGCAACACTTCAGGTTCAATCCCCATTACCAAAAAATAAATAAATGTTTATTTTTTCTATGCCAATTGGTATGTGATATTCCTCTTCTAAAGACAGTACAGGGGAAGAAAGGCAAGGAGGGAGGGAGGCAGGGAGGAAGGAAGGAAGGAAGGAAGGAAGGAAGGAAGGAAGGAAGGCAGGTAGGCAGGGAGAAAAAAGGAAGGAGAAAAGGAGGGGAAAAAAGAAAGAGAGCAACAATTGAGAAAGTTTGCTGAAGGAGCTGCTTTAATCAGTGAATCCAAGAGCTACATGAACTTACAAAACTTAAGAGTTCCTTAATGTGATGATCCCCTGATGCCTCCTGGACAGACCCTGTCACTCCTTGCTCTCCAACCAGGGACTAAATGACAAGGAGGACCAAAGAATTTCCTGAACCCAAGTAATTCACGCAAACATTGTAAACCGTTAGCAGTATTTTTCTATGATACATTGAAGATGTCTTGCTTCCTAAAACTAGCATTTGGGTTACCCCTACAGCACTAAAAAAAGTATTTGCCCAAAATGGAGAAATTCAAGAAATGGCTCAGAATGATTTCATCATGCTGAATCTTGTGGTATGTGAAGGTTTAATATTCTCTTAATATGATAATTTAATGGAAATTTTGACCAATCTCTTTTCCACAAGCCATATTGCTAAGCATTATTTGATATAGATTATTACACAGAGCTGGAAGAGTTTAGGATGTACTGAAAATTCAATTTGCAGGAAATATTTTATATTAAATGTCAAAATGATCCAATTCGTAACACTCATTTCTTTCTTCTGTTAGCATGAGACCACTGATAAGAACTTGTCACCGGATGGGCAGTATGTGCCTAGAATCATGTTTGTTGGTATGTGTATGAACTCATGTGTCACTTTACAAAGTCAGTAGGAATCTTAGCCATCTTGCTTTCATGCACTTTCAAATGCTAGTTTAAGGTTATTATTCTTTTTAAAGAGAAGACAGTTTGAAGTTACTGTTCACTAGTTAGTTCTATATCCAAATACACTGTATCTATTATTTATAAATTTTAAGCATTTTAAAAGCAATTTATGCTGCTAAGCAAATATCAAAATATTTTTAGCAGTGTACCAAGCCAGATTAATTCAACTTAGTTGAATCAACAGATTAATTGACCATAAATTTACATGTATGAAAACTATAAATTTGGTTAGCATGCTCAAGAATAATTCCTCAAAGGCTATTTGGGACCTCTAGAATAAGAGAAAGACTGAGTTATTCTCAGGGGCTCGAAGAAGTCCCAGCCTGGCACTGAAGCCTCACACCTATAATCCTAGCTACTCAGGAAGCTGAGACCTGGAGGATCTCAATTCAAAGCAGATACAAGCAGAAAAATCCACTGAAATTCCATTTCTGATTAACCAGCAAAATGCTAGATTGAAGCCATGGCTCAAGTGGTAAAGCACCAGCTGAGCAAGTAAAACAAATGAGTTTGAATCCTGGTACAGAGAGAGAGAGAGAGAGAGAGAAGGAAGGAAGGAAGGAAGGGAAGGAAGGAAGGAAGGAAAGGACGGGAAGGAAGGAAGGAGGGAAGGAAGGAAGGAAGGAGGGCATTTAGCTACTCCAAAGGCTGTATATACTTTTAGTGGATGTGGACAGGGAGTCCCAGAGATCAGGCTTACACAGCATTATTACCAAATTTATCTATCTATCTATATCTGTCTGTCTGTCTATATTTTCTCTCTCTCCCTCTCTCTCTCTCTCTCTCTCTCGATCTATAAGGATGACTCATTTATTAGTGAGTAAAGCGGTCTCTTAGGAATTATCTGTTTTCCTTTCAGACCCTTCTCTCACAGTCAGAGCTGATATAACTGGAAGATATTCTAATAGACTGTACACATATGAACCTCAAGATGTGCCTGTATGTAAGTATTCATAAATTACCTTGGACAGTGGCACAAGCTGGCCCCTGACTATTAAAAGGGCCAACGATGACAACATCATTGCTACCCACAATCCACAAACACTAGGGCTTCTGATATGCAAAATGTAAACTCCTAGCTGCCAGAGTCAGCTCTGCTTTCACAGGAATATCGGAAAGTTCTTAAGATCACTAAATTTTGAGATCACTGAAAACACTTTCATCCACATTAAAATGACATAGACCTTGAGAAGCCATTCTCCTCATATCAGAAATCCCATGTTATTTCCTCCAGTGTTAATGAAATATTTACTCTGTCCCTAACATCTGTAAGTAGGTCATTATTAATGATATTTAAAAGGACAATGCCTCTTGACTCCAGCAATGCCAGATCAGTTTAATAACCAATTAAAAAGAAAATGATACTCCCTCAAAGCTCCCCCAATACAGTTGCTCATATTAAAAAAAAAATTGATGGCTGGGTGCTGGTGGCTCATGCCTGTAATCCTTGCAAGTCAGGAGACTGAGATCTGAGGATCATGGTTCAATACCATCCTGGGCAGGAAAGTCCATGAGACTCTTATCTCCAATAAACCACCAGAAAGAAGTGGCACTGTGGCTCAAGTGGTAGAGTACTAGCCTTGGGCTGAAGAGCTGAGGGACAGCACCCAAGCCCAGAGTTCAAGCCCCATGACTGACAGGAGAAAAAAAAAAGGTGCTCAGCCTGCTGACTGATATAAGTCCTAAGTTTATACTGGTTGGAGCATTAATTAAATCTATTCATTTATGAGGGCCTATGTCAGATCCCATAGTTATTGATCCTTTCATTCCTAATAGCACAATTCGTATTTACTGTGATTTCAGTGATAGAAAACATGAAGAGAGCCTTAAGACTTATCCAATCCGAGCTGTAAGGGATGGTGGAAAAGGCACCTGCAATCTAGGAGGTGAAGGATCACGAAGATAACCTCTGGATCACTGACAAATATGAATAGATACGGCTTTTGTAACATTACATTATTTTGATGTTTCAGTGTGCTTAAAATTGTTTTATGGAAATAAAGTATCTCTATATATATTGAAACCTAAACGTGAAAATGTAGTTTAGTTTCTGCTTGCATCAATATCAAAGAAAGCTTTTCTCCAGCCAAGAGTTATAGAGACTAAAGGATCCAAATAAGAAGTGCCTGCTCAGGTTGCTTCTGTGTTCTCCTTTCTTATTCACTTGATCAGTTCCTCTCATTTTAATTCTGCCTTCTCCACTGTGTGAAACCTGCCAGTGTCAGTGATGAATGATCCCCACACTACCAAAACACAGAGATGTAGTTATGTCTACTTCTTATGAGAACTTTGAGCAGCATGTTCCAGAATTAATCACCTTCCTTTAAATTAAGATAGACATTTAAAACCTAACTGCAGTATACTGAAAGTATATTTTAAAACTCAGCTGTGTATTTTCCTTAATCTAATTGTTGACTAGACACATTTAAGGCTTTAAATATTTTAAGAGAAGTGCAACTGATTCAGGAAGACTAAAGCATTTCTCCAGCTAACTTATAGGAAAAGAAATTATACATCTATTGTGAAATTATATCCAACCACCAACTCAATCCTTCATAGAAAGTTTCCAAAGAGTTAATCGTCTTCTATTTTTTTAAACAATAACAACAACAAATACCTGTTAATGAAAATTCCATAATCAATTCTTTTTTTTGGGGGGGGGTCTGGTCGTGGGGCCTGAACTCTGGGCCTGGGCGCTGTCCCTCAGCTCTTCAGCTCAAGGCTAGCACTCTACCACTTGAGCCACAGTGCCACTTCCAGCTTTTTTCCTTTTTGCTTATGTGGTGCTGGGGAATCGAACCCAGGGCCTCAGGTATGCAAGGCAAGCACTCTACCACTGAGCCACCTTCCCAGCCCTAATCAATTCTTTTTTAACCCATAGAATTTATTGCATGTAAAAAAAATCTGAATTTTATTTTTTTTCCTGTGCTAGTACTGGGGCTTTAATATGTCAGTCACTGTCCCTTGGCTTTGATGCTCATGGCTGGTGTACTACCAGTTGAGACACAGTTCCACTTCCAGCTTTTTGCTAGCTAATTGGACTTTCCTGCTGGCTTCCACCCTCTTAATTCTCAGATTTCATCCTCCTGAGTAGCTGGGATTACAGGCATGAACCATTAGCTCCTGGCTGAGTATTACTTTTATATGAGGCACACACACAAAGACTGTTACAGACATATGATTCATTCCAGTCTTTGATGTGTCTGTTAAACAAAAATGGGGAGGGGATGGGAAGGGAGAAGAGAAAGAAAGGAGAGGAGGGTTGAAAAGAAGAGAAAAATAGGGAGAGAAGGGAAGAGCAGAAAACAGGAAGAGAGGGGAGGAGAGAGAAGGGGAGAAGAGAAAAGAAGAAAATAGGGAAGAAAAAGGGAGTGGTAGAAGTATGTGGGGGAGGGGAAAAGAAGGGAAGAGAAGGGGAGAGAAGTCACACCACTTAATGAAATCAGGATTCAGATCCAACACATTTAGCTCCTATGTTCTTACACTGCCAATATTATTCCACTTTTGATTTCTATATTGTGAATACCACAAGAATACACCAAACTAACATTATGCAACATCTTAAATTATTATTTCCTTTATTAAAGAAAATCTAATAACAGTGATTTCAATTGCATGTTTATAGCAACAATCTCTAGCCTTAAGCTACCACTTCCAACAAATCAAAGAATATTTCTATCACTCTCTGTGATCCGAGTTACTCTGATGGCCCAATCTGCGACTCTGGGGAAAAAGAAGGGGAGGGACAGGCTAAATTTCAGTATCCCATAAATACACAGCACCATCAAGAACTTACTGTTGCTGCCCTGGTGTGATACTGCACCCCTGTAATCCCAGATGCAGTAGAAGCTGGACATCAGAGTTTGAAGCCAGCTAGGCAAAAGAAAAAGAGGAAAAATCAGCAAGACTCTAACTCAACAAAGAAGCTAAGCATGGTGGCATGCATCTGTAGTCCTAGCTACAATAAAGGGGTTGGTAGGGGGATCATAGTCCAAGTCTGGTTCCAAGCAGAACTGTAAGGTCCTAACAGATAAATAAAGAAGAAGAAGAAGAAAAAAGACTGGAAGTATGCTTCGCAAGTGTGAGGCCTTGTGTTCAAAACCCAAGTAGTACCAAAAAGAAAGTGGGGAGGGAAGGTGAGAGAAAGAGAGATTAATTACTGTTACCTACAGGAAATTTAAAAGAAGTACTTTGTGCTTCCCTCAGTCCGAGCCTTATCTGCCCTTTTGTTGGGATGTCCCTGAGAAAGGAGTCAAGGTTAAAGAGGCTTGGTGGACGGACACCAAGTATTGGTGAAGGTATGTGTGGTGAACGGCCCTTGCTCTTCCTTCTTACACAGTGAGAAATAAGGCCATGACAGTGTTAGGGGCTCTAGGTACGAACGGCAACTGATGAAACGGTAAGCAGCCCTACACCTACCTGTTCTGCCCACCTAAACCCTGGACTGGGACTATATTGAAATCATATGTGTATGCTTTTTATCAGTCTTGCGGAACACTTAAGAATGAATGACTTTGGCCCAGCACCAGTGGCTCATACCTGTAATCCTAACTACTCAGGAGGCTGAGATTTGCGGATCACAGTTCAAAGTTAGCCCTGGCAGGAAAGTCAGTGAGCCTCTTTTCTCCAGTTAACCACCAAAAAAAAAAGTCAGAAATGGAGCTGTGACTCGAAGGGTAGAGTGCCAGCCTTGAATATGAAAAAGCTAAAGGACAGTGTCCAGGCCCTGAGTTCAGCCGCAGCAACAGCAACAACAATAACAACAACACACACACACGCACACATACACGCAAACACACACATATCCTTGATGATCTGTGCCAAACAACTCTAAAATTCAAGTCAGTGAATGTTCCGTCTTATTTTTCTTTACAAATTTTCCCAAATGATCTCAAAGGCAAAGCTCTCAGAGGAAAACGTTCTGTGAAAAGATCCCACCTGAATTTTTTGTCTTTTGGAGAGTTGTTTCAGGTAAAGAACTCTCCCAGAGTAATTCATCTTCCAACTGTCAAGAGGAGAGAGCCAGGGTAGAGAACTCCAAGATGAACCACTACAGGTTTTGTCTGTTTAAAATAAGGAATAGCAATCATTTAAAATAATAATTAACAACAACAACAATAACAATAATGATGATGGTAAGAGCCCTGCTCCAGTAGCTCATGTCTGTTACCCTAACTACTCAGGAGGCTCAACTTGAAATAACCAGCGGGGGGTGGGGGTGGGCGCATAATAATCGGCGGGGCCCAATAATCAGTGTGGTTTTGTGACCCTGGAGAGGGCGGGACATCAACAGGCAAGCTTAACCACGCCAGACTGGGCCACCACGGGAGGGAGTGGGCATTGAGGCTGACGTCACCGCCCCACTGAGGGGCGGGGCACGCCGCCGAAAGGGGCGGGGCGTGCTGCTGGAGGCTGGGCCTCGAGCCCCACATGCTGAGCTGCCTATTGGGATTGGACAGTGGACAGCTAGGAGGAGGAGCGTGAATGGCTGTTGGAAACCATTAGTGGAGGATAGAGGCTGCGTGTTTCAAGCAACCGGAGAAGCTGAGTGGAGAGTAGTCCCACTGGAGGAGGGGAGGGGTGCAGCCTATATGCTCCAAGCAATGGGGGGAAAGGAGGAGAGGAGGGGGAAGAAGAGGGAGAGACACGGATGTAGAGAGAAAGAGGAGGTAGGGAGTAGCGTAGAGATCGTGGAAAGGGGAGAGAGAGGCAGCAGGAAGGGAAGGCCTGCTGGAGCAGAGCAGGGCAGGCCTGAGGAGGGCAGGACAAGGTAGTCACAGCCCCCCTTTCTGATGTAAATAGTGTAAATAAATGTGCTTGTTATCTTTAACCGTGCCTGGATGGATGAATTGTCTCACTCGTTAGAGGTCATAATTAGATCTGAGTATTGTAGTTGGAAGCCATCCAGGCCAAGAAAAGTCTGTAAGGCCCTTATTTCCAATTAACCACAAAAAGCCAGAAGTAGACCTGTAGTTCAAGGTTAGAGTGCTAGCCTGAGCAAAATTGCTCAGGGACACCCTAAGTTCAAGACTCAGTACCTGGACAAATAATAACATTAATGAGACACACAGCTTTCTTTGACTCTGCCCTTTTTAAGAATAGGGAAATCGGGGCTGGGAAGATGGCTCAGTGGTAGAGCGCTTGCCTTGCATGCCTGAGGCCCTGGGTTTGATTCCTCAGCACCACATAAAGCAAAATGAAAAAAAGCCGGAAGTGGCGCTGTGGCTAGCCTTGAGCTGAAGAGCTGAGGGACAGTGCCCAGGCCCAGAGTTCAGGCCCCACGACTGGACAACCCCCCCCCCCAAAAAAGAATAGGGAAATGGAGCTCTCCTGCTCAGTCAGCCTGTGGGAGCTCGGAAATGTGGACTTTGTGCAGGGAGACAAATGATATTGGTATTTTCCCCTCTAGTTGTTTATACCAGACTCTGAGAAGAGAAAATCCATGAATGCACCCACTTTCCCCAAGCTGATGGCAAGGTAGCTTCTTTCTAACCCCAACACTGAACAAAAATTTCTCTAAGAGATACTGAAAATAATCTCTAAGTTGTGACAACTATACACACCCTTTTGGAATTTAACAGATGACCTTAGCATGGGGCAGCTAAACAAGCCAGGGCCCCACAGCCCTCAGCTGCCTTTGATTAAGAGCTGGAGAAACAGGATACAGGGCTGTATCCGTCTCCCTGCAGGTGGGTGTTGGCTCATTCTAAGCAGATGGTGGGTTTATGATCCTACAGTGCTATACATTTCTCAATAGACAAATATTTGCATTGGACTAGAATACATAGGGGGGAAAAGTATTCCTGAGCTCAGCTTTCAAAGAATGGCTGAAGTTTTGGGACACCTCAGCATT